ATATATTTAATTCTATCCTCGCGCGAATGACGTTCGTAAAAATTTTTATTAACGCGACCGTGTTCCATTTTTCTAATCGCGTATGATAACACACGAGAAAACGTCAGAGGAACGCGAAAGTAAGTTTTAAGAGGAGAGAGATAGAGAGAGGGAGAATAAGAGAAAGAGAAAGAGAAATAAAGAAAGAGAGAAAGGAAGAGAGAGGAAAAGAAAGGGGAGAGGGAAGAGAGAGAGAGAGAGGTTGCAGAGATTCGCCGATACGCACCTGGTCACGCGCATTTGAGGGCATCAGTGACGTCAAAGCTTGAGGGCGGAGGTTGCCAGTTACGTCACTGGCCCAGGCACCAGCCTCCACTGCCACAACATCGATCAGCACGAAACCAGGAGAACGGAGAGAACGAAAGAGAGAAGGAGAGAGACAGAGACAGAGATAGAAAGAGAGAGAGAGAGAGAGAGGGGGAGTAAAATGTAGAAGAGTAGGGAATATGGAAAAGAGAGAGAAAGAGAGAGAAAGAGGTGGGAATATCACTAATAGTACCTGCCTATTCGGTCTATTAATTAAATTTCTGATTCTGTTCGGCAATATTTCAAATAAAATCCTTCCTACCAGTTAAGTATTTACAGTCGAATGAATCGAATAATAATGTAGTATTTTAATAATGTTTTCGCGTGTTATCTCAATTTTTGGATAAATCATTTTGCAATATCTCTCAGGAATATCGTTCATTTTTAACACTAGATTTACGGATTTGTTTTATTCACTATTTTTTAAAAACTTACAAACATTGTTTAAATGAAAAAATGGGAGGAATTATCATTTACGTATATTTCATTACGAATTTAAAAGTTAACATAAATTTTTAAAAAGTAATAATATGTAAGTATAAAAAAAAAAAATTTGAAATGAGTCAAATTGGCTGAGTTCGTAAATCTAGTGTTAATATAAAAAGTTATACAGTTTAAACTACGATTTTTGTCATCCCCTTTCACTCCTCCTCCTCCTAGTTGTTCCCCACGATTATTTCTTTCTTTTTCTCCGCTTTATTTTATTATTCATTTAAATTACAAATTTTTGTATTTCAATTGAAAATGTACAAGTGCCACGTGTCTTTTA